AGGTTAAGAGTTGATGCAGATATTTTTACTTCCACTGCTGAATTTGGAAAACAGCAGTAAGAGTGTTTGTCTTGGGATGTGTATATATGTGTGGCTGTTTCTTTGTAACTGTAGCGTTTCTGTTTATGCAACATATAGATAAGTTTAAGTAATGAAAAAAGAAAATTTAGCGGTAGGGTATAATCCCAAGATGTTGTGTATCAAAAACAAATGAGAGGTCTTAAAGTGTTATAATGGGTACTGATTTTGTAGTGATGTAGTGACCTAAACAGCTTAAAGTTGTTAAAGCCTAGACTGAATTGGACAAACTGGAAAAAATGAAAAAGTGTATTATTGTCAATCAGGGTTTACAAAATTCATTAGGGAATTAAAACTGCTGTTATTAGGAGCAGCAAGAAAAGTTTTTGAGGTAGAAGCTAGACCCATTATGGCAGGGAGCCAAGGCCTTTTGGATTACAGCCGTGGTTCAGGAGATGAGATCGTCCGAGAGGATGACATGATCTAAGACACGGTCTTCTCTCTCCATGGAGATCACAGACAGGGAAAGGGAAGACAAATAGAATTACAAAGCAGGGAACTGATGTGGATTACAAATTGGATTTGGAAGTTAGTTCAGTAATAACCACTACAACACTGTAGAAGCCACAAACATGGTGTACTTGTTTCTAGAACTGTATTTCTATTAAAATATTGTAATGAATTTTACCATTTTTCAGCAGGTCCTCAGTATTAAAATGATTCAGTTGATTTATAGATATTACATTAAGATGAAGCAGCATAGTAATTATGTTCTCAGTTTTAAACCTGGACAGAATAGTGGCTTCCAAAAATGGTATGGACAGTCTTTTTCTGGGTTTCTGTGTCCTTACAAAATGGGAAAATAATTGCCTTATAAGGATATTAGGGTGTGCAGAACTGTACTTTATCTGATGGGGAAACAGAAAAGTACACACACATTGAAATAGCCCCTAGGGGCTGAAAGAACAGGGTGTAGAAAGTAAAGGCAGTAAAATAGCATATGGTGAGTCCACTTTGTATCCTAGGGCAGAAGGGTGATTAAGAAGAACTTGGTGAGCAAACTTAATAACAGAGAAAAGATTTCCAAAGTTGAGCCCTTTACATTAAGAACATATTATACTTGAATTGTAAAGTTAAAAACTTAATTCTTCCTAACATCTTGGCGTAAACATTATGAATATACTATATATGTGTATACATACGTATATATATTATATACGCACACGCATATATATAAAACATTAAATACTATACAGATAATATATATACAAAAATAAAATTGCTTTCTAAATCAACCTGTGACTTGTTTGCTATACCTCTAAAGGTAGAGGTACAGCTGGTGTAGAGAATTTAAACCAGAAGGAGCTGAAATGTCAGATCTTTACCATCTGTTTTGATAGTTTGTAATTCAAGGGATGGGTGTCTTGAATAATACCTGTTAGTATAGTGGATTTTTTTTTTTGGTTACTAGTTACAGATGCTCTGATGTCACCTTTCCTTAAGAAACTAGTCACTGTCTTCTGCATGAATTCATGTTTGTATCACCTTAGAGCAATAAATGGTGTTGCAGTAATCCCAGCTCATCAATAATAAAAGCTTATATTACATGGTGCTTATTATATGCTAGGCACAATTCTAAATGTTTTACATCTATTAGTCATCCCCACAGCAACCCTGTGAGTTAGGTATTATTATTTTTCTCCCTATTTTACACATGAGGAATCAGAAGGTTAGGTAACTGTAAGTACAGTCAGTTAAAATTATCAGTTATGTTAAAACAGTCTTTGGGGAATTTTTGGAAAATCTCCTTCCTCCATTTCAAAGGGCTCCCCATTCTTTCTACTTCCCTTTTATTGATAGCTGCTAACCCGTTTAGGGACTGGAATTGCCTTAAAATTAAATCTACTTTTCATTCTGTTTTAAAATATCCCCAAGATGGGCTTCAGGGGCATTATTACAACAAGTATAATTTTGTGGAAGCACCCAGGAATTCAGTAGTCCACATCAGTGTATAGGTTAATTAGTTGGAGGAAAACAGGTATCTCTGTCCCTTCATTTCTCTGTTATTCCTTTGCCCACCCATTATCGTTTTGACCAATGTGGATTGAGGTCAGTCATTGGCATATCTAAAAAACTATAGTTTTAGGTCATTTGGAAAAGATATAGTATGAAATACCCTGTTACAGCAAAGGCACAAGATGTCTGACAGCACCTCAGCTGATTTTTCACAAGAGTGAAAAAAAAATGATGATGGTGCTTTATGGCATAGCTGCTTTTGCTTACACATCTGAAAAGTAACAATTCAAAACATTCATTCTACCGGAATATAACCCGTGTTTTTAAAATTTTAGTATTAAGGACAAATACACTATCCCTCTTTGGTGGGATCTGGTAAAGCTAGCAAACATAAATATAGGAAGTGGTCAATGAAAACAAGACAAATTAGAACTGTACTGCTTTAGAACCAATTTTCTAACAGATGAACGTCTTAAATTTGAGAAATAAAGGTAAAGAATCCCCTAATTCAAGATTGTAGTCTCCCATTCTTTTGGCATTGCTGAGTTAGAAAAATGGCAAAACACAAGGCCTTTAAAGACTTGCTCAACTTACTGTTTCTTACCAAGGGTGACACATTTGATTTTTAATTACACTGTTCTTTAATTTTTTTCAAATTAGTAAGACTCGTCATTTAAATTAACATTGTAATTGTCATCTAAAGTAGTTTTTTCCCTTTTTTAAGCACATTGGGTATGTTTATCAGAGACCACCGTTCTGAAATGACTACTTTAAGTTCTTCTCTGTAAGCTGACATTTCAGAGGAAGAATGCCACTTGCTGGGCACTTGGGTATGAGGAAGCTATTGGGCAGGGAAGAGAATCTCAGTGATTAGAAAAAATATCCATGTCCTTGAGGCTTAGGTAAGGATATTTTTATAGCCATAACCTTTATCCCGGTGAAGACATAGTGAGCCACAGCTTAATGGATCCCTTTACCAAACTAGTACATTCAGATCTACTACAGGTCCCAGAGACTAGACAAGTATTCTGATTATACCAAAATTGTAATTTTAGGAGTCCCATTTCGCTTATTTTTTGGATCACTAGTTTTATGTAGTACTTAGTTATGTGATAAAAATAGCAAATTTTTATTGTTTATACTCTGACTCCGAAAAGGATTTAGCCTACAGATGTTAAGATATGTATTATGTTCCTTACAATATTAATCATTATATTGTAAATTGCATATAATCCGAAGGTTCATCAGTAGAAGATAAATTTAATTAGAGTTTATCAATAATATTGAATCTATATAGATGGTAAAAAGAATGAGATAATATTATCAACAGTTTTATGTGTGTACATGCATGAAAGATATCCAAGATTATTTAAATAGAAAGAAAGCAAATTAAACTTTATACTTTGCATTTTTAAAAATATAGCTGATAGAATTATGGGGAACCTTAACTTTCTAAGTTACATATTTCACTGATGTTTTAATATTTTACCTTTTTTTTGTCAGCAGAAAAAAATATTTCACAGTTATACATGAGCCTCTCAGAAAAAAATAGCAGCTACCAACTACCATTTATTTATTACACCCTTACTATGTACCTGGCACCGTCTTTTTTTTTGCTTGTAATGATGTCTCTAATTCTTCCTTCTATTTGATTGTTTTAATGTATATAAAAAACCCAAAACCAAACACGTTGCCATTGAGTCGATTCCAACTCATAGTGACCCTGTAGGGCAGAGTAGAACTGCCCCATAGGGTTTCGAAGAAGCGATTGGTGAATTAAAACACCTGCCTTTTGGTTAGCAGCTGAGCTCTTAACCACTGTGCCACCAGGGCTCCTTAAGGTATATAGAAAAATTAAATTGGAGGTATCATCATTATAGATAAACCCATTGCCGTCAAGTCAGTTCTGACTCATAGTGACCTTATAGGACAGAGTAGAACTGCCCCATATGGTTTCCAAGGAGCGCCTGGTGGAATCGAACTGCCAACCTTTTGGTTAGCAGTCATAGTGGTTAACCACTACACCACCAGAGTTCTGTGTTTCTGTTAGTTACAAAGGGAATTCCATGTTATCCCTGCCTGTTAAAATCTGTGGGACATATGAAACACATAACCAAAATAAGAGTAAAATATATAACATTATACAAAGGAGTACATGTTTGGGGGGAGGTTAGAAGGTATCGCATGTTTAGATGAGGTGGAGATAAAAATAAATGAAAGGATTATTAGGAAAAGCTTCAGTGAGGAAGGAGAGGCCAGAGCTTTTCTAATGGAAGCAGAATGAAATGATTAGATTGGGGAGCACCAGAATGAGAGAAATGATAAAAGTAAGAAGCCTTGAGAGAGGCTGACAGAGGGTTCTGAAGATTTTAATCTGTGCTGTAGTGGGACTTAAAAATAATGCTATGTCACCATAACAAACAAGAAAACAACCTTGGTGTAAATGCTACAGATTGTATAGTAGTGTACAGAAATGGCAAAGACGTAACTTATATAGAAGAGGAATTGACCCTAGTTCAGGTCCCTCCCTTCTCCCCCAATTTACTGTAGTAGCCACCTGACCAAAAACAAACCAAACCCATTTTCATCAAGTCAGTTCCAACTCATAGTGACCCTATAGGACAGAGTAGAACTGCCCCATATGGTTTCCAAGGAGTGGCTAGTAGATTCGAACTGTTGACCTTTTGGTTAGCAGCCAAGCTCTTAACCACTGTGCCACCAGGGCTGCAACTACCCTTTGTTATTCCAAAATTGGCCACCCCTATTTTCAACACAGCAGCCAGAATGATGCTTTTAAATAGTTAAGCCACATCAAGACCTCCAGTGGCACCCCATTTCAACCAGAGTAGCCCTGAAGGCCCTGAATGAGCTCTCTCCTCCTGCCTCTTTGACCTCAATTTGTTCTCTTTCCCTCTTGCTCGTTCCACTTCTTGTTTCTCAAAACCATCACTCCTGCTCTTGCCTCAAGACCTTTGTATCCCTCGTTCTGTAATGCTCTTCTCCCAGATACCCATGTGGCTACTCTGTTACTCAGTCAAATATCACTTACTCAATATGACCATCCTATTTAAAATTTTCAATCTGCCTCTCTTCCTCTACACTCCTATAGCATTTTCATCTTCTAATATAGTACGTAGTAGTCTCTGTGTGGCACAAATGGTGAAGAGCTCGACTTGTAGCCAAAACGTTGCCGTTGTGATCTGCCTCCCAAAGGAAAGCAGCATTTTACATGTTGAAAACCCTATGGAGCAGTTCTGCTGTGCACACATGGGGTCGCCATGGGTCAGAATTGGCGAGCAACAGCAACAATATAGTATGTAATTTACTTACTCATGTTTATTGTTTATTATCTCTCTCTCTCCCACTTGAATGAAAGCTGCAGGAGGGCTGGGATGCTTGTTTGTTTTGTACACTGCTGTAGCCCATGCACCTAGAACAGTGCTTGCCATGTAATAGATGTTCAGTAAATAATGAAATGATTCAAAAGCCTGTGAAGAGGATGGCAGTTATAAACTTAAGAGAAGGTTGTATCCTAGTGCAATGGATTTTTAACTTTCCTTTAGAATTTTTACCTGAAATGAATAAAATCTTAAAACCAACAGGTCGTAGTACACGTATCTATCACCAGTTTAGAAGTGGGTTTCTGAATATAGCTTGAATACCACTGATAATACATTAAGCTGTTAATCTAAATGCTTAAATGTTATTCCTGGTATGATATCATTTATTCTTACTGGTGAAACCTTATTTCATGTCTCTGAGTGAAACCTGACTTTCCACCTATCTTCTGGAGTCAGATTTGTTCATTTGGTTAACAGAAGAATGTTATAAAACTTTTTAGTTCCAATATGAACTGTATTTCTTTCTTATGATTTTGTTATAGATGATGACTGGCAGGAAGCACATGAGCGCCTGGCTGAATTGGAAGAGAAGCTGCCGGTGGCAGTTCATGAACAAACAGACAATGGAGAAAGGGATGAGATGGACTTGTTGGGTGACCATGAGGAGAACCTGGCAGAAAGGCTTAGTAAGATGGTGATTGAAAATGAACTAGAAGATCCAGCTGTCATGAGGGCAGTGCAGACCAGGCCAGTTTTGCAAGTGAGTAAGTTGCTCTGATTTGAGAACTATGGCAAACTGTATAAGTAAAGTGAAGTATTGAGCTTTGCCACTTTATTTTATCTACTATAATGAAAGAATTGCATTTGGAATAGAAAATTGATAAAATAATTTCTGATGATAGCAAATCTAGAGATGAAGTTGGGGAATGATGTATATTCTGGAATAGTTATTCTCCAGCAGTTGAAGCAGTTTTGGACATTCATTCACCAGCAGCAGCTCAGTCACCCAGAGAGCCCACACTGTTTCAGACTGTGTGTGTGTGTTTTTTTTTTGTTAGCCCCAATCAGGAAGTCTCAATTCCAGCATCTGGGATGGATCTGAAGTTCTGAGGCGAATCCGAGGACCACTGCTTACTCAGGTATTGAACATTGCCTCTTTATATAAAATTCCTAAGATGTGAAATTTTTCAAATTGCCCCCTATGGTCAGGCTTTCCTCACTGAAAGAATGTATAAATGTCCATCATTTGTCAGTGTTTTGTTGATTGCTGCATCCAGCACTTACCAGCTGTACCTGTTGATGCATCTTCCTCATCCTCCATGGCAGTGCTCATTTGACCTTTCTTTATTTTGAGAAGGTTGAAAGGGAGCCACTGGAGCTTATATTCAAATTTACAATTTGAATTACTTGAAAAGTCATTTCCAGGCAAGATTATAGGGATGGAGAGCAGATCAGTGGCTTGGGGTGTAGAGAGGGGTAGACTACAGAGGGACAATACAAAGGAATTTTGAAGAGGAATGAAACTGTTCTGAATCTTGATTGCAGTGGCAGATCCGTAACTATGTATTTATCAAAACTCAGAGAACTGTACACCAAATAGAGTAAATTTTACTGTGTGTAAATTAAAAATAAACAAAAATTACAAAAGTAATTTCTCAAGATACTTTGCATCTGCAGAGATGATTTAAACATTTCCAGTTAGCTAATTTCTTTCTTTTTTTTTTAACCACTTGTTCACTTAGGAAATGCCTACAGTATCTGTACTAGAATATGCCTTGCCCCAGAGGCCTCCACAGGGCCCAGAAGATGATCGGGATCTTTCTGAGCGTGCATTACCGAGGCGATCAACTTCACCTATCATTGGGAGTCCTCCTGTTCGAGCTGTGCCCATAGGCACCCCACCTAAGCAGATGGCTGTACCCAGCTTCAACCAGCAGGTACCTCTCATTAACAAGCACTCAGCCCAGGATATTGGGAATCTGGGCACAATCATTTGGGAACTGGTAATGCTGGGAGGGGGGTGGAAGTTTTGGGTAGGCATTAGATTAGATAGAAGAATAGCCAATTAGAGGAGAAGTTAGTGCAAATCAGAGACACGTTCCCTAACACCCTTTCTTGCTGCTACTGCTTTTGAGTTGGAGGAGGAAAAAGGGTAGTTAACCACATTTAGTTTATGTATCCTCTTTAAAGTGTTTTGCTGGCTGCCCAAAACATTTGCAGAGAGGTAACTGAAAGCTGGGGGGAGTGGGAACACACAGCATTGTCCACATCCTTTTTACCTTTAAGATATCCCTGCTTTCCCTAGAGCCTGTGCAGTCCTGTTCCATAGACTTTCCTCCACCTGAAACCAGCAGCTGAAAAGGAAGGCCAATTTGGAAGGTATGGGGGGAGGGTGGTGTTGGTATGGCCTAGTTAGGCTCACTATCCTATGAAAGGTGGAGTCACAATGTACCACAAAAATGCTGAGCATGGCGGCCATATCACAGGGTCTTCAGAATAGGACTTAGTTAATCCTCCAGCTTTCTTATCATTCCTTCTCCCTCACTGCTACCAAAATACATCCTTTTGGAGAGAATTTCCAAGTCAGAATATCTGCTGGTACCTCCCTCAGATAGCATGGAAGGGTGGGGATAACTGGAGAATTAGCTAAATCTTCCTCAGTTAAAACTGACACTTTGCTTGATTTGTGAGAGGAAGTAACCAAAGGTTCTAAATTTGAACCCATAGCCGTAGCATTTTGCTTAGAAGTAGGGCTTGGCATTGAGTCTTGTGTCTCTGCCAGTACTTGAGGGGAGGGAATTTAGGTAGAGGAAAAACTGACTTAATTGAATGTAGTTGTATATATGTTTGTCCTGATAGATTCTGTGTCCAAAGCCTGTCCATGTTCGGCCCCCAATGCCACCACGTTATCCTGCTCCCTATGGTGAGAGGATGTCTCCAAACCAGCTCTGCAGTGTCCCGGTATGTCACTTTAACACTTAAGGAAGTTGTGCAGTATATGTTTTCTGATCACTACCTGTATGAGCACTATCATTATACGTCTTGTTAGTTGCTATCAAGTCGATTCTGACTCACGAGACCTCGTGTTACAGAGTAGAACTGCTCCATAGGGATTTCTTGGCTGTAATCTTAAGTAGATCGCCAGGTCTATCTTCCGTGGTACTGCTGGGTAGGTTCGAGCTGCCAGCCTTTAGGTTAGCAGACAAATGCAAGCCGTTTCTGCCACCTAGGGACCTTCACCAGTGTATCACATCTCCTAAATTTTACATCTTTTTTTTATCTCCACACTTGACTCTCCGTCTGATGGTCCCCGAGTCCAGAGGACATGGTCCATCGTGCTCAGTTGTTTCATACCACAAATCTTTCTCATCTTGAAGTAATCTAAATTTTGAGTGAGATTATATGGTCTCCTGCTACTCAGCCCCTCCTTCTACTGTTTGCTTTTTCATGTCACATAATCAGAGTACTTCATAATTTCTAACATTACTCTTTTATATTCCCTCAGTGGAAAGCTTGACTGTCTACACCTTGAGAGTTTTTGTATCTGAGTTTATTCTGCATTTTTACTGAGTTTCCTTATTAGATTGATTTACTTGTTTCATAGTATAATTGTTTTTCTTCTTTTTTTTCCTTAGAACTCTTCCCTCCTAGGTCACCCTTTCCCTCCTAGTGTTCCTCCTGTTCTCAGCCCTCTTCAGAGAGCACAGCTTCTCGGAGGGGCACAGGTAAGCCTGTGATTAGCCCTGCCCGTACAGAGCTCTCCTACTTGCCTAAGGTTCATTAGCTAATGCTGTTGTGGACCATCAAGTTGATTCCGACTCACAGCAACGCTGTGTGACAGAGTAGAACTGCCCCATGGGGTTTCCTAGGCTGACATCTTTACGGGAGCAGATTGCCAGGTCTTTTCTCCTATGCAGCTGCTGGTGGGTTCCAACTGCTGACCTTTCAGTTAGCAGCTGAGCACGTAACCGTTGCACCTTTTGTTAGATAATATCACCCTTGTATTACGGTTAATCATTCATTACTGCCTCTCATTTTTTTCCTTTACTTTTTCAAACAAAGTTTTGATGGAAACAGTATTCACTTTTCCGTGGATAAAAGCAGGGGGACTTACCCCATTGGGGGAAAGAAAGAACCTGCTGCTGTTGGATTGATTCCGACTCACGGCGACTCCATGTGTTAAGAGTGTTAAGTGTTAAGTGCTCCATAGGGTTTTCTTGTCTTTAATCTTTACAGAAGTATATCGTTAGGCCTTTCTTCTACGGCATTGCTGGGTGGGTTCAAACCTCCAATCTTTAGATTAGCAGCCAAGCACAGACTGTTTGCACTACATAGGGACCTGGGGGACTTGCAGATTAACTAAATTTGAGGTCTTGTTCCTCTTGTAGCTACAGCCTGGACGGATGTCTCCCAGCCAGTTTGCACGGGTGCCTGGGTTTGTCGGTAGTCCGCTTGCTGCCATGAATTCCAAGTTGCTGCAAGGGCGAGTTGGGCAGATGCTTCCCCCAGCACCAGGCTTTCGTGCCTTCTTTAGCGCTCCACCCCCCGCTACACCACCTCCTCCACAGCAGCACCCTCCTGGCCCAGGACCTCACCTGCAAAACCTAAGGTACACTAGACAGATGCCAGTGTTTTATCCATCGTCAGCCACGTGTCTTGATCATTGCTGTTTAGTGCTATAATACAGAAGTCTCTTGATACTTGCAAGGGATGTATTTTGAGATCTTACTAGATCCTCAAATTGCCAAACACAGAAATGTTTGACAGCCTCTGGGCTTTCTGACAAGTCACATTTCCCTCAAGAGTCATATGCTTCCTGTGTGCATTCTCACATTACAAGTTAATCACCTCTTTTATTTTTTGCTTAAGTTTGTTATGTCTCAGTCATATCCATTTTACAAACACACTAATGTAATACACGCAGTGCCTCTCACTTAAGAAGACCTACCATATCACCAAGGAACAGAGACAGAGATGCTGGGAAGTCAGTTGATCTCAGCACTAGCTAAGCGGCTTGCTTCTACTCTCTGGTTTTATAATGAGAGGAGTTCAAGTTGCTGCTTCAGCAAAGTAATGTTTTATTATATGTTATATGTTTTTTATGTTATTCCCAAATAGTTGAAACTGAGCTTGTTAAATTTATTTAAAGACTTCTGTTAAAGAGGAGCAGAAAGAAAATTATACTCCCTTATTGCTAATTCACTCAGATTTTATGATGACATTCTTAGGAGTTGAGAATTGGCCTTTGTGGAAGATGTGTAAAAGCGTGGCCGTCTTTTTCTTTAGAGTCTGGCCTCCTTAGACCAGACTTGAACATGCCCTTGGATAAACCTGTATGAAGTGAGTTATACTGTACTGACAACATCCTTAAAAACTGCAAATCTTGAGGATGACTGAACTGAGACCCTTGATCCTTTTTTCTTAGATCTCAGGCCCCAATGTTTAGACCAGACACAACTCACCTTCACCCACAGCACCGCCGACTCTTGCATCAGAGACAGCAACAGAATAGAAAGTAAGTACTCATCTCACTCCTTTGTGGTTTCTTAATTCAGCTTTTAATTTTGACAGCATAACAAAGTGTTACTAATTACATTTACCTTTCTAGTTAATTAGTATTGAGATTACTTTCCTGCTAAAATCAAATCACGAATGCTGTCATTTTATGTTTTTAACGCACTAGCTTTAAATGACAAGATTTTATCAAATAATTTCCAAACTACTATAATTATATTGGAGCCCTTGTGGCACAGTGGTTAAGTGTTTGGCTGCTAACCAAAAGGTCGGCAGTTCGAATCCACCAGCCACTCCCTGGAAACCCTATGGGGCAGTTCTCCTCTGTCCTGTAGGGTAGCTATGAATCTAAATCGGCTTGACGGCAGTGAGTTTTTATAATTACGTTGCTCATAAATCTCAATTAAAATTTAGATCTGTTTTTTTTTTTTTTTTTTAGCTAACATTATATATTCACTCCTTAGCAAGTTCTTACTGTACTCTTAACTGCCTTTTTTTTACCATCTGCTGCACTATATTTCCAGATTATCTCTGAGCTCAGAAACAGTCTTGAAATATAGTGCCTAGCCTTGCATTTGGGTGTTATGTGAAGCCAGTGGTCATTCTTTATTGCTGCTTCTAGTTATTTAATATATATTTCCTGAATGAGGATTAAATCATTAAAGGCAGAAATAAAGAATGACTATCTATAGGAGCCACGGGGGCGTAGTGGTTAAGGGCTTGGCTGCTAACGAAAAGGTCAGCAGTTCGAATCCACCAGCCAGTCCTTAGAAACCCTATGGGCAGTTCTACTGTGTCCTGTAGGGTCGCTATGAGTTGGAATCGACTCAACGGCAACAGGTTTGGTTTGGTTTTGGGTTATCTGTATAAAATTTGTTCCAGCTGTGTGCCGGGCACTATGATAGCTTTGAGGGATAAAAAGAAGAACAAGTTAGATAAAGCTCCTGCCTTTATGAATCTTATATTCTATAATAATTCATCTACGTAAAATAGGGAAATGAAACATAAATGAAGTTTTTTTATCCTCTCAATTTTATTGTTCTGTTACTGTGCATAATCCCTTACTTTCAAAGATGTTCCAGGATATCTCTTACAGGGGAAAAACCCCAGTATGGGCTTTTAAGACCCAAAAAGTACAAACCATAAAGGGAAAGATTAGTATATCTGTATTAAATATTAAACTTCGATATAACAAAAGGCATCATACACAAACAGGCAACTCCCAGTAGAGGAAACCCCAGTGGCTCATAATCATGAAAAGTTGTTCAAGCTCACTCGTAGTCAGAAAAGTGCAAATTAAAATGAGATAGCCATTTCACACCATCAGACGGGCAACACTTGAGATGTCTCAGCCCTGCCAAGGGTCGAGTATATAGCCTCTTGAGAGAATTTGGCAGTACATAAGAAGGTTGGAAATGTGGACACACCACGTCCTAGCAGTTGGGTATGTTATCAACATGGACAAATAGGAAAAGCATAATCTTGAGTGAAGAAACGGAGCATTATATGTCTAGTGCCATTTATATGCAATTGAAAAACATACAAAATAATACTATAATATTTAAAGATGTACAGAGTAATAAAAGTATAAAACTGTTCCAGTAGATACATAGTGAAGGCAGGATAGTGGTTCCTCTAGGAAGGAGAGGAGGCTAGAAACTGGGATCCAGGGGATAAAAGAGGTCCCTCAACCGTATATATAACGCTGTGTTACTTCTATAACCCCCTGCCGTTGAGTTGATTCTGACTCATAGCAACTCTGTAGGACAGAGTAAAACTGCCCCATAGGGTTTCTGAGGCTGTAAATCTTTACAGAAGCAGACTGCCACATCTTCTCCAGCAGAGCATCTGGTGGGTTCAAACTGCCCACCTTTTGGTTCGTAGCTGAGCACTGTAACCACTGCACTACCAAGGCTTCCTTTGTTACTTTAATAGTACTGTTTTAAAAATCTGAGGCAAATTTGGCCGAAAAATATTTTTGTCGTTAAATCTGGGTGGTGGGTAAATGGATGTTTATTACAGTATTTGCTGAGCCATAATTACGTTGATCATAAAGCGCAATTTATATTAAAATTAAAATACAGAAGTCTCTTGATATTTGCATGTGATATTTTTTGAAATCTTACTGAAATATTTCACAATTTTCAGAGTTAAAAAAAAGTATATAGACTTTGGAATCAAATTGGCACGTGTTCAAATCTCTTAACTCTGCCACCAGGTATACGATTTTGGACAAATTAATTGATCTCTCTTGGCCTTAGTTTTTGGTCTTAGGAGAAAATAAAACCGCCTACTTCTTGGTGTTATTTAGGGCATATATGAAAGTCCATAAGTGAAAGTGCCAAGCTTATGGTAGGCACTCGGATCATGGTTTTATTTCTTTAATTATGTATTATATAGCTCTTTTCTCTTATATTCTGTTAAGACCATTCTTTTTCACTCCCTTTAACAAAAAGCAAAGGGGAATCTTTTTTTCTTTTTTTTTTAAATAGGTGGGGTGTCCCCCCCGCCATATTGTTATAAGGCATCATTAATTTAACTACTTGGAGTGAATGTGGCATTTGTTTGTTTTCAGTCAGCATCGGAATCTGAATGGTGCAGGAGATAGAGGAAGTCATCGGAGCAGTCATCAGGATCATCTTCGCAAGGATCCTTATGCCAATCTCATGTTGCAGCGAGAAAAGGATTGGGTCTCTAAAATCCAAATGATGCAACTGCAAAGCACTGATCCCTACCTGGATGATTTTTATTACCAGGTAAATGCTGTTATGCTAATTTTGAAAATAGGAGTTTGGGCCTTTGCTCTGGTTGATAGGATTTTGACTAAGCAAATTTATCCTCCTCTCAAGCTGGTGAGCCTCTCATTCAGTAAATGCGTTGCTTATATACATTTTGCTTCTTTTATATAGAGGCTCTCAGATCAGTATTATCAAATCCTTGTGGCATCAGTAATCTTGTTCTTTCTGTTGGCAGTCTAACTTTACAGACATTTCCATTGACTACTAACTTGTTTAAAAACTGAAATTTTTTATATAGTAAGTGTGTAGCAATCTAACAAAAATTAAGGGATTAGTACATTTCTAGAGTTGAAGCTGCGTTATTGCTACTAGTATAGATTAATTATTTAGTGATAAAGAGCAGCCATGTTTTCTGCTTGTGTTGCAACTCAAATCTCATGTGGTAGAATTACTTTGAGAAACTGGAGAAACTGTCTGCTGCTGAAGAAGTGCAAGGTGACGGCCCTAAAAAGGAGCGCACCAAGCTCATTACCCCTCAGGTGGCCAAACTGGAGCATGCCTATAAGCCAGGTAAGGTCCTTATCCCCACACTGTGATAGGAGACACTTCCGATGCCCCTGATGTGATAAAATATAATAACTATACATACGGTTGGACAGATAGAGATGTTTGAATCTGATTTACAAACTGTTGTTGCCCTTAATAAACACAAAGATCAGCCTTGACTCAAGCATGGACTGAATGGTTTACAGATAGATGACCTTTTGTGTCCTTTTCTACTTGAGATTCCATGATTGTTTAAACCTGTTGTAAATTCTAGTATCCCTATAGAGAATGTAAAGATCTTCTTTGAAAACATCTCACCTGAAATGTTGAGTTTTTACTTTGTTGTAACTTTTCTGTCCTTGCAGTGCAGTTTGAGGGCTCTCTGGGAAAGCTTACTGTCTCTAGCGTGAATAATCCTCGAAAAATGATCGATGCTGTTGTGACATCTCGGAGTGAGGATGATGTAAGTGTTAGCAGAATTGCATGCTTAAAAAAATCTGGGTCATTACCACTTGTTTTGTGGTCACTGTGGAATGGGATCCGGGATGACGGAGTTGCTTCTGGCCTAACCCGGAGCTTCCCAGCTGGCATGCCATGGCGTTCTAGTTTTCCGTACAGGTGCTGAGATGTTGACACCTGCGTTTCAGGCAGCCAGGCAGGGCCTGGGGTGCAGGAATGTTCTGTCTGGGTAACACTGCCTGCAGACAGAAACATCTGTTTACTCCGTTTGCTTTTCAAAGAGATTATCATTTCTGTGTGTTTTAAGAGTTTCCTATAACGTCTTTATCCTGTGCTAGATTCTAAAATTACTTTTTGCCTGTCTGTGAATTCAGTTTAATAGTTTAGATGTGGGTTGATTTAATTATCTTTATGATCTTTGTCTACATTGGTGTTGTTTTAGCTTATGAACTTCAAGAGAGTGAGTGTTTTCTTCTCAAAGCATTTTCAGAGATGAACCTATAGGTGCACACTTAGTGAATTATTTTAACAGCAGTGAAGAATTTATATTAAATAGTCTTGTCTTTTTTAGGAGACAAAAGAAAAGCAGGTTCGGGACAAGAGACGAAAAACACTTGTCATAATTGAGAAGGTAAGTTACTATAAACCCATTGCTGTCAAGTCAGTTCTGACTCATAGCATCCCTATAGGACAGAGTAGAACTGCCCCATAGGGTTTCCAAGAAGCGCCTGGTGGATTCAGACTACCAGCCTTTTGGTTAGCAGCCAGGCTCTTAACCACTCTGCTACCAGGGCTGCAGTAGTTAGTTTCAAATAAGGAATTGTCAGATGGGTGTGTAACCAACAGTAAGCAGCCAATCAGTGTTCTGTGATTTTAATTAATGACTGTATTCTTATTAAGTGCCTGTTGTGTACCAGAGCACTCCAGAAAGACTGTGGTGTACCTCACCTAGGGCATCATGGAAAGAACGCTGCACTTAAGTTAGGAGTGCTGGCTCTTTGTCCAAGCTTGTTCCGTTAATAGTCAGGTATCTTTGGGCAGGTCACGTTTCTAAACCTCGTAAAATGAGAATAAAATTTACATTGTTGTGACTAGATTGATTAAATCAGTCAGTTCACAGATACTGATTGGGTACTGGGCACTCTGCTGGTTTCTAAGAAAAATGAGGTTCTGTATAATCAAGTGGCTTGTAATAGGGTAAACACCGTGTTGTGAGGCCCTAGAGCATGGTGGTTAAGAGCACAGACTCTGGAACCATTTCTGAGTGTCACCTGGGTCAAGTTATTTTACCTTTCTGTGTTGTCCTCAGTTTCCTCATCTGTAAAAATAGGGATGCTAATAGTATCTTTCTCACTGGATTGTGGTGAGTATTCAGTGAATGAGTACATGCAGAGTGCTTAGAACAGTGCCTGCCACCTAGTACTAAAAGTAACTATTACTATTATCGTTTTTATAAACGTAAGGCATTACTTGTAGCAATACACGTTGTTTATTAAACAGTGCTGTTGTTGCTGTTGGAAAGCATGTAATCATTTTACTGTCGTGTCTTCTGGATTAGAGGTGAAGAAGGGACAAAGAATGGTGTTGGAAGAATTTTTTGTGTTATTTCACTGTGTTTCTGGATTTAAAGTGGCACGTTTTCTTCCCCCTTTCAGTCTCATTATAATGACTTTTCAGTCTTACCTTTATCTGGTAGTCCTAAACAGTGAGGTTATTCCTCTGAGACTCTGTGATCCTGACCTAACGTGCCATGACCTGCTTTGTGTCTCGCTTAGACATACAGTTTACTCCTCGATGTGGAGGATTATGAAAGGCGTTATCTCCTAAGCCTGGAAGAAGAGCGGCCTGCCCTAGTGGATGGAAGAAAGCACAACATTTGTAGCATGTATGACAACTTAAGGGGGAAATTGCCTGGACAAGAGAGGTGAGAATTACGTACTTTGAAGAAAACCTAAGACTAGCTGGACTTCCTTCTTTGCCAAACTGAGCTTACGCCTTTCGGCCTTTTTAGATACCCTTCCCTACCATCTCTGTAAGCTCGGAGTCTATCCTTTTGGCTTAACTCAAATGCTACTCTGTATACAACATTTCATAATCCTCCCCAGCCAGGAAAACAACAATCCCTCTTTATTCTCAATATCTAGAAACAACCAAACCCACTGCCATCAAGTCGATTCCAACTCATAGCGACCATACAGGGCAGAGTAGAACTGCCCTGTAGGGTAAACCCCATAGGCTGTAATCTTTACAAAAATAGACTGCTACATCTTTCTCCCATGGAGCAGCTGGTGGGTTTGAACCACCTGCCTTTCAGTTAGCAGCCAAGCGCTTTAACCACCACACCACCAGGGCTCCTTTGAATATCTATTTTTAAAATTAAAAAAAAAAAAAAAAAAAAACTGTTGCCGTTGAGTTGATTCCGACTCATAGCGACCCTGTAAGACAGAGTAGAACTGCCCCGTAGAGTTTCCAAGGAATGCCTGGTGGATTCGAACTGCTCCTTTTGGTTAGCAGCTATAGCTCTTAACCACTACTCCACCAGGGTTTCCTTAAATATTATAGTATCCATTTATTCAACAGATACATACTCAGTATCTTCTAGGGACTGTGTTAGGTGCTAAAGATTTAGTGAAGAATATTATATTATTTGGTTTCTGATCGAGTTTATTGATTGTACCTGGCTTATAATTACTAGCATGTTCAACCTTGTAATCTTTTACGTATTTTCTTTCCTATTAAGGTAGAAAGTGTAAACATTTATACTCCCTGGGGTTTCCATAGGATACTCATGTCAGTCTTCCACTAGAGACTAAGCTTTTTAAAGACTATGTCTTTTTCCCTGTATCTCTGTCATCTCTCCCCCACCCAGTAGTGTTTGGAGCAGAATCTTGCTAATGGTAAATGTTATGTAAATCACGAATACTTATATGATGAATGCAAGAGAATTATGTCTCCTAATAACTCCCCTTATCCACTGCCCATTCAAGAGAATTGCTGATTCTTCTAAATCAGGACATGCACATATAAAACAGAACATAAGAACAAGACTTTTCTGGAGTTGGGCTGACAAAAGGGGGCTGGTTGAATAAGTATGGTTCATCCATAGATTGAAATGCTATGCAGCCATTAAAATGTAATTGAAGAATATTTATTAATGTGATAAAAGTCTTCACAATAAGTTGTTGAGTGAAGAAGATTAAGTTACAAAGCTGTATGAATTCTGTAGGCCCATTTGTGTGGGGAGGGGAGGGTGTTTATTGTGGTCACAGAACATTTGCTGTTTCAACAGTCTTCACGTATACAGTTCAGTGCTATTAAATATATTCATCATGTTGTTCAACCATCACCATTTACCATTACCAAATTATTCCATCATCCTTTAGGCACATGTTTATGAAAGAAGAAAATATATATGGTATACAACAAAAGGTCTTTTAAAATGGTAACACTAGTAAAATTATCACCAGGATTATGATTGGTTTTTTTTCACTTATATATATTTTTGGATTTTACTACATTTTTCATGTGTTATTAGTGTAATTACTTAAAAGATAAGAAAGGAAATTAATGCATATAGTTCAGCCAAATTTTTTAACTTAAAATTCATGAAATGGTGATTTTCTATATTTGTGAAACTCGGAAAATGACTTTATTATTCGGATGAGAATTGGAGAAGTAATTCCAGCCATTTTTGTAGTTCAGATAATTGTAGAGTGACAGCAAGCGCACAGTGTAGTCTTTTCGTAACATCTTCAGAGGGAAAAAATGAGGGTTTCTTATGTTACTCTTGCTGACCTGAGTTGGCATTTTTCTTCCCCTATAGGCCAAGTGATGACCACTTTGTACAGATCATGTGTATCCGGAAAGGGAAGAGAATGGTTGCCCGTATTCTTCCTTTCCTCTCCACAGAGCAAGCAGCTGATATTCTCATGGCAACAGCCAGGAACCTCCCTTTCCTTATCAAGAAGGATGCACAAGATGAGGTGATTCTCCATGTGGGGCATCTTTCCTTTGAGTCTTCATAGCTGATAACATTTCTAGAATCCAAACTTCTTTCATCACCCCCCCACTCCTTCTCTTGTTACTTTAACCTTTGGCAGTATGATTTGATTGTTTAAAGCAAAACCTTAGCTACTCCAGGCCTGCTTTTAATTCAGTTTTTGGTTAAATAGGCTGTGTAAACTAAACATGAATAAAGCAACAGTTCCGTCCTGCTTGACATAATTGTAAAGATGTATCTGCAACAGCTTATATCAGAATTTCTTGGGAAGCAAATAACTTCGCCCCACCGCAAACATGCTGAATCAGAATTTCCAGATTAATGATCAGGGCTTCTATATCTTTGGAACCCTGGTGGCGCGGTAGTTAAGAGATTTTCTGCTACTCAAAAGGTCAGCAGTATGAATCCACGGGCCTCTCCCTTGTACACCCTATGGTGTCTACTCTGCCCTGTAGGGACACTATGAGTCAGAATCAATTCGAGGGCAGTGGGTTTGGTATGTTTTTGGTTTTCTAAATCTTTAGTAAGGTCCCCAGCTGAATATGACTCTTGCTGAAGTTTAAAGTTTTCTGATCTCGGTTACTTTGCTGGATATAAAGTATCACTCATTGGGCTGTTATCAGTAGCTTAATAATAGTCTGTAGAATTAGTTGAATGGTATCCCACAGGAATTGGGTCAGTGCTTTCAAATAATTTTTTTCATGCTCTAAACTAAGCTGGAATTTGAAACATGGTTGTCTAGTTTATAGAATAACTCTTGGTTAGAGTTGCTCTCTGCTTACCTCTGTGATAGTGCTTAAAATATCAGCAAAATTTAGAATTGTTTGGGAGCTCCAAAGCAAGGATAAGACAAGGGGGCAGTATTAATGAGTATGAGATTCAAAATAGTAAAAACTATGGGAGTAGAGCTGAGAGTTCTGTTAGACCACAGGTTGAGTAATGACTGTGTGGTAATAGTCCTCAGAAAACAAACATTGCTGGTACACTATATAACTAGTATGACATGCAAGAGTTGGAAATTATTCCTTCTCTAACCAAACCAAAGCCAAACCCAAACCCTTTGCCATCGAATCAGTTGCAACTCAGCGACCCGGTAAGACAGAGTAAAACTGCCCCATAGGGTTTCCAAGGAGTGGCTGGTGGCATCTTAAGAGGAAATGAATGAGAAGCCTAAGTCTCATCATTGGAAAAAGTGAAGTGGGATGAGATAAGTACATTTGTGAAGCACTTCAAGAATGAAAAATGGATTGGGGGAAAGTTTTAAGGATTTGAGGTTTATCCTATGAAATAGAAGACCATACTAAAACGTGTCAGCTACCTTGGAGCATATAAATTGTGGAGACAATGAGGCAGGTGCTGACTCAGCATCACAGAGAAACTCATTAATGGAAACAGGTTTGAGAAAGCTTCATTCACTCAGCAAATATTTGTTGGATACTATGTACCAGGCTCTGGTTTAGGTGCTTGTTGTTAGGTGTCATTGAGTCAATTCTGACTCAAAACAACCCTATGTACAACAGAACAAAACACTGCCTGGTCCTGCATCATCCTCACAATTGTTGCTACATATGAGCCCATCGTTGGAGTCACTGTGTTAATCCATCTCGTTGAGGGTCGTCCTATTTTTTGCTGACCCTCTACTTCACCAAGCATGGACTGGTCACTTTTGATAACATGTCCAAAGTACGTGAGACAAAACCTTGCCATCCTCACTTCTAAGAAGCATTCTGGCTGTACTTCTTCAAGACAGATTTGTTCATTCTTCTGGCAGTCCATGGTATATTCAACATTCTTCACCAACACATAATTCAAATGCATCAAATCTTCGGCTTCTTTGCTAATTGTCAAGCGTTAGCATGCATATGAGGCAATTGAAAATACCATGGCTTGGGTCAGTTACACCTTAGTTCTCAAGGTAACATCTGTGCTTTTTAACACTTTAAAGAGGTTTTTTGCAGCAGATTTGCCCAGTGCAATACATTGTTTGATTTCTTGACTGCTGCTTCTATGGGCATTGATTATGGATCCAAGTAAAATGACATCCTTGGCAACTTCAACATTTTCTCTGTTTACCATGATGTTGCTTACTGGTCCAGTAGTGAGGATTTTTGTTTTCCTTGTATTAAAGTGTAATCCATACTGAAGGCTGTATGGTCTTTGATCTTCATTAGTAAGTGCTTCAAGTCCTCTTAACTTTCCGCAAGCAAGGTTGTGTCATCTGCATATCGCAGGTTGTTAATGAGTCTTTCTCCAGTCCTAATACTGTGTTCTTCATATAGTCCAGCTTCTTGGATTTTCTCAGCATACAGATTGAATAAGTATAGTGCTAGGGACTAGGAATACAAAAATGCCTGCCTTTATGGAGCTTACCTGCTAGTGAGGAAAACTTGGTTAAATATAGAGAGGAAGATCTTAACGTATGTGCATTAAAAAATGAGAGATCACACCTGTAAGTACTATTTATTTGAACTTTGAAATAATAACTTGTTCCATGTCTGAGGCATGAAAGGTACAAGATAACCCTGGAATACCATGTGCCAGAGGTACAAGATAACCCTGGAATACCATGTGCCAGAAGCAAAGAAGCTAAAACATTACTAGGGTCCTTGTTACGACATTCAGAAGCCAACCTGAAGGGGCTCCTATTGGTCAAAAATGGGATAATTTACATCAGAAAGAAAAATTGAAACAAATGGGTTAAAACAAATATATTTAATGAGTTCATAATGATACAAAAAAAAAAATCGATTGCCTTCAGCGATTGCTAGACCATCAACTCATTCTGAAAACTGGTAAAGGAAAAAACCATTTCATCCTGCTTTTCCAGTGTGAGCCAGGTTTCATCGTAACTAGAGAGTAATGATACAAAGTTTTTCTTCCAGCTAATAAATGCAAAAGAAATGATAAAATTAGAAAACCATTTTGCGACCTCTAATGGAAAATCAGTCAGTCAGTCAGTCAGTCTGGACGTGGATCATTAGTGGCTACTAAAAGCGTTAGGTAAAGGGTTAATGTGGAACTGTACAATGGATAGAGCAGGCTGACAACACCTGAGCCCGCTGATCATTCGAAACACCACTAGGAGTGGGCCAGCCAGACATGATGTGCTTCTTGATGTGTTGAAATAGAAAGCACATAGCTGTACCCAGGAAGTTTTCTTGCCCCACCCCCCAGTTGAACCTGAATGTAATCAAACATCTAGCTCTGACTATCCATCTATGGGAAAAGGAGGGCATAGAGGAAACTGTTAAGTGGCCCCACAGAGATGCAGTTAGCCAGATCCAAACTAGGGGATAAATGACCCTGTTTCCTTAACAAGTAAATGACACGAGGAAAGGGTATGCACGGTGACACAGAACCTGTTGAGATTTAAAAAGCCTCCTTGACCAAATGCAATGTGTGGTTCTTGTTTGAATCATTAGAAACATCAGCTGCTAAAAGACGTTTTTGAGACAATTAGAGAAATTTGAACTTGGAGTAGATAGTGATGGTACTAACAGATTATCGTTAATTTTATTAAGTGTGATAACATTTTAAGAGGTTTTTTTTTTTTTTTAAGTATTTTCTGTTAGAGATACAAACTGAAGTATTTATGGATGAAGTAATATGTGGGAGGGACATAGATTTATTGAGATTGGCAAAATGTTGATAATTTGATAGTGTTGAGATTGAGTGATGGGCACATGGGCTTCATTACACTATTCTCTGTACTTTTGCATATGTGTAAAATGTGCTCCATAGTAAAAACTTTGTTTAGAGTAGACCACAGAAAGTGGCCTGTCTATTCGCCATCCTTGGGTGCTGTTTAAAGTAAAACCAACAATTACTTTTTATACCATGGGTATTGAGTGCCTGGAAGCACTCTTGATTTCTTTTCATGTGTTAAAATCTCTTTATATTGATAGCTGTGTGTTTTAACTTCCCAGTCTGGGTCACATGGCAAAAAGAAAAGAATGACTGGAAGGCTAGAATTCATTGGGTTCTGTCTGATTCCAGCTCCTAGCTTTGTGACTCTGTACACATTGTTTAGCTTCTCTAATAAGCAATAAAAATTGGATAATGATTCATCCATTTTCACAATGAGCTTTTATAAAGATAAAGCAGGATACAATTAAATCCAGAAATACTTTTCAGTTAAGCCTATAGCACTCTGAACTGACCGATTTTAGAGTACTTCTCAGAGTATATTGAAATTTCCAATTTACCTATGTCTTCCCCACTGTACGTTAGATCCCTCAGGGTCTGTGTCCTGTTTACCGTTTGTTTTTAGCCCACAGGGCCTGGCACATTGTAGGCATTTAAGTATATGTGGTATAAGTTAAAATATTGATGTTTTATTATTATGTATGTCTTGCTGTGTATTTGAAAAGTGATTTTGCACCCTTGATTCATGCAAGTCATGAGGTTTCCAGAGCAAATTGAGATGGGAAAGTTCTCAGTAGACATTCTAGAATCCATCGTTAAGACTAGTAGTATCTGCTAAACCTGTCGCCCCTCTTTTGTTATATCTCGCCTCCAGTGGTTGAGTGTACAACGGAGCATCCTCCCATCCTTGCCCACTGATGGAGGGTATTGTTTTATGAAGTAGTTGTTGCCAGGATGTAATGCTTCTGTTTTGTTTTTTGTTTTGTTTTTTTTTTTGCAGGTGCTGCCATGCTTATTGAGTCCCTTCTCTCTCCTCCTCTATCATCTTCCGTCAGTGACTGTCACCAGCCTTCTGCAACAGCTAATGAACCTACCTCAGAGTGCAGCTGCACCAGCACCCTCCAACCCTCACCTCACTGCTGTGCTCCAGAACAAGGTGGTCTTGCCCTTCTGTATCCCTGCACTTTGCTAGGTTCCACGTTTGAGTTATATAGAGTCTATATAATGGCTGCTTTAGCCGTAACAACTTGTGAGAAAGGCTTCTTTCCATCAAGAGTTGCATGATAATACTAGTGTCAGAGGCTAGAAATCACAGTGGTGTCAACAAAACAATTTTATGTATCTCATGTGAAATAAAGCTAGTATAGTGGCTCCACAGTGTCATCAGGGACCCAAGCTTCTTTAGTTTTTCTTCTCTCCCATTCTTAGCTGTGGCTCTGATGCTCATAATCCTGTATGGTCCAAGATGGTTGTGGAATTTGAGGCTTCGCTTTATATCAGGAAAGGGAGTGAGTGCGGAGGGCAAGATGGTATGGGTTAGCTGTCTCTCCTCCTTACTTGGAGCTTTTCCAAAAGTTCTAACCAACAACTTCTACTTAATCTCCATCTCAACGGCCAGGACTTAGTCATGTGGTCTCACCTAACTGCAGGGAAGGCTACAAAATGACTTTTCCTTTTTAATCCATTTCTGTGCCAGTAAATAAAAGAAAAGCCTAATCCCATGTTGTCTAGGGCTGGTAAAAATTGTTATTTCACCTCAGGGTGGGGCGGGGAGAGGCAGAGGCCTGTGCTGGGTTGGCTTGGCCGGTCGCTGCAGAACCAGTGGTAGAGCCAGGAGAAGGACGCAGCCTCTCAGTTCATGACCATTCGCTCTCTGTCTGACTTAACAGAAAATGCAGCAGCACGGGCGTTTTAGTTTAGTGCCATTGCCCATTTAATGCCAGGACCCCCTCCGCAGGGGTGGAGGAGGATTAGATGCAGCACTGAGTTTGATTCCTTCTGTCTCCCTTTGCAGTTTGGCCTGTCACTGCTCCTCGTTGTACTGAGCCGTGGGGAAGACCTACAGAGTTCAGATCCTGCTACAGAATCAACGCAAAACAACCAGTGGTCAGTCTGGGCTGTGTTTCTTCTCTTATTTTAAGTTCTTTTAGATAATTGGTCATTCTTTTGCTCTTACTGTTATTATGGGTTTTCCCTGTCAGGACAGAGGTGATGTACATGGCAACCCGAGAACTTCTGCGGATTCCCCAAGCAGCCCTGGCCAAGCCGATCTCTATACCCACAAACCTGGTATCCCTCTTTTCACGCTATGTTGACCAACAGAAGCTGAACTTGCTGGAGACAAAACTGCAGTAAGTTTGAAACAGGACCACATGTCACTGAAGTTGGCACTTTAGAAGTTATGATGAAGAGGTAGGGAGGGAAGAATAAAGCTGAATTTGGTAGAAAAGATTAAAGACTTTTACCAAATGTTTGAGTATCTACTAGATATAAAACACTGTGCTGGGTCAGTAGCACACTCGTAGAAGTTAACTAAGAGAAATATCTTAGGTATTTTGTTATGAGAATTCCTACAAGGATGTAACTTTAATGCAAAAGATTACCATCTGTCTTGATTTATTTATATAAACAAGTTTCCTTTCTTTTTTTCTTTATACCCATAGGCTAATTCAGGGGATACGATAAAAGATCTCCAAATGATTAAAGATCTCCAAATGCATCCGGTACCTCCTTTTGGCTGCCACCTGCACTGCTGCCATCACCAATGGAGTGTTTTTAATGAGGGAGGGAAAGTAGCTTATTCCCCAAAGCAAAAGTCTTGTGGGATCGAGCCCTGTTTACAGGGATTGTCTCTAAATGGCCAGGTATTTCCCCACTGCTCTGTGAAATTGGTTGGGTGATACTTCTGCTGGTTTCTTCTTATCTTCTATGTTACCATTCTGCATGCCCTACTTTTACTCATTTCTTCTCAATTTGGCATTTTCTTTGCCCTAGAGATCCAAATGTAATCTCTCCCTTTATCCCACCACCACTACTCCAGTTCAGAGTAGATTGTAGCCTGCCAAAGGATTTCTTCCCTCATCCTATTGAAGTCTTTTTTCATTGCCCTATATTAATATGACTATAGGAGAGCCAGTTAAGTAGAAATTGATATCCATCTATACACACACTCAACACTCCCCTATACGTACATTTCTGTGGTCTCCAGTGGGTCCTTAAAGAATGAGTTTTGGATTGGAAAAATATTCAGTGATACACCCCTCCTTTAATAACAGGTTTTTTTAATTACAGTATTTTTAATCTGTTTCTATTCTGTCTTATAATCAATTTGGTGAGTTCTACTTGTTTTAATATAAACAAGGATATGCAGTACATTTAATAAAATCAAAAGTCTTAATTGGCTGATGCTCAGCTCTAGGCTAAGAAGTCCTTATTCTCTTCCCCACTTGTGTTTGTTTGGTTTCTGTCCATCTCAGTAGAAACAGCGCACGGTTAAGCCTTTTCTTACCTGCAACAACTACAGCGTGCTTGAGCCCATCCTCTCAGGTGCACGCAGAGCCCCCAGGATGCTCCTCACTTAAGAGCCTGCTTCCGCAGTGTAGCTTTTTGCACACTCACCTTGTCTTCCTGAGACTATTTCAGCAAGCCATGCTTTTACTTCTCTGTTGCCCATTTTTATTTGGTGTCATGGGTAGAAACCCCCAAATGTAACCATAGAAGCTAAGGTTGGCCTGCTTTGCCCCTCATCTCCACACCATGAGCAGAACTGCTGTCCTTGCTACTCCATCTCACCCACGTCCCATTCCCAGGCAGCCAGGGGCCTGGGTATGAACCCTAGCAGGGCAGCCCGCCATGATCCTTTTTGCTTGCCCTCTCCCATTCACCAATCAACCAGGATAAGGGGTTTTGATCCCCAGTGATTACAGCACTCAAGAAAATCAAATCTGAATTAATTTTACCTGACTGTCCTAATCTACTCTCTGCTGTTCTCACCTTTTGGAATGTAGTGGGGAGGACAGGTTATGATATTTAAAGAGAATAAACATTTTGCACATACACATATTGTACAACGGTAAAATCCTCCGTTATAACCAGTTGTCTGTGTTCTCCACACCCTCTCTTCTCTGTCTCCATTTCTTCCCAGTCTGTAGCCCCAGGCTCCACCTACCTTTCCCCACTGACATGACCTAGCTTCCCTCTGCCATCACCTACTGACTCCTCAGCGTCACAGCTGATCAAGTGAATACTTGATTATTATTTCTCCCTCTCCGTGCTTTATCTTTTTTGTTTGGTTCTAATTAATGAAAATAAAAGTTTCTAAATTTACATTTTTATAGGGTATTGTAAATAAAAACAAATTGTATACTTGAAAAAAATGTGTCCTTGCATTTCTACTTTCTCACTGCTTCTAAACATGATTTTTAATGCGTTTCTAGCATATGTAGATAAACTGGTAAACCTCTTGGTTTTGGGGATTGAGAAGGTTATCTCTGCATAATGTTTTTACCTTTTTAATGTTGTAAAGGAGTCAGTAAAGATCTTATGTTTACATGATAAGTTTTTTTAAGAAGCCTAGGATGCTTTCAGTTCCCCCCAACCCTGTTCTAATTGCAGAATAGAATTACGCATTTTAGTAGATCCACACTACAGTTCATCTTCCCCGTCCATCTCTAGGCATATGTGAATCCTTCCCCTGACGTACACGTGGGGTTGCCATGAGTTGTAATCTCTTCCGTAGCAACAGGTTTGGTGGGGTTTTTTTTGTTTGTTTGTTTGTTTTTTATATAGATGTTACTTTTTAGAGCAGTTTTGGGTTTTACAGAAAAATTGTGCAGAAAGTAGAGTTCCCATATGCCACTCTCCCCCCCACACATACTGTTCCAGTAATCAGTAACATCTTGAATTCCTGTGGTACATTTGTTACAAATGACTAACTGATACTGATACATTATTATTAAAGTTTACATTAGGGTTCACATTTTGTGTTGTACTGTCCTGTGAGTTTTAACAAATGCATAATGTCATGTGTCCATCGTTAACATTATCATGTGTAATCATTTCACTGCACTAAAAATGTCCTGCGCTCCACCTATTCATCCTTCCTCCATCCCCCTAAACCCCTAGCAGCCACTAGTCTTTCACAGTCTCTATAGCTTTTCCTCTTCCAGAATGTCATATAATTGGAATCATACAGTATGTAGCTTTTTTAGACCGGCTTGTTTCACTTAACAATACACCCTCTCCTCACCAATGTGGTTAGGTTCCAAAGACCAGGTCATTATGAGAAATTGGTGTTAGGCAAAAATGGAGCATGACCACATCAGATCACAAAATGATGACTATTACATAACTGCCAAACCACTGAGAATCATCCCAGCCAAGCTGACACACAATCTTAACCAATAAAGCTAGCACCTCGGTTCGTTACTCCCAGACGTATGTCGTTAACGTGCAAAATAGATGGTAGATTTTTTACTATTGTACATGGGAAATGCTGAATAAGAAGATAGTTGATAAATGAGGGGAAGGTGTATACACTTAAGTTTCTCCATGACTTTTTGTGGCTTGATAGCTCATTTTTTTAATCACTGAATATTTCATTGTATGGATGTGCACAGTTTATCCACTCAGCTATTGAAGGACATCTTGGTTATTTCCAGTTTGGGCCAATTATGAAAAAAGCTGCTATGAACATTTGTGATCAGGTTTTTATGTTGAAGTACGTTTTCAACTCATTTGAGTAAATACCTAGAAGCACAAGTGCTGGATCGTATGGTAAGCCTATGTTTAGCTTTGTAAAAACTGTCAGACTTGTCTTCCAAAGTGAGCTGTACCATTTTGCGTTCCCACCAGCAATGAATGAGCATTCCTGTGGCTCCACATCCTCCTCAGCATTTGGTGTGGTCAGTGTTTTGGATTTAGCCTTTCTAGTTGGTATTTAGTGGTATCTCATTGTTTGGATTTGCAATTCTCTATGGACGTGACGTTAAGTGTTTTTTCATATGCTTGGTTGCCATCTTCATATCTTCTTTGATGATGTTTCTGTTCAGATCTTTTGCCCATTTTGTAATCAGTTTGTTTGTTATTGTTGAGTTTTAAGAGGTCTTGTCTGTTTTGGATACAATTTCTTTATCTGAGATGTGTTTTGCAAATATTTTCTCCCAGTCTGTGGCTTGTCTTTTCATTTTCTTAACAATGTCTTTCACAGAGCAGAGGTTTTTAATTTTACTAATGAAGTCCA